CCAAATATGGGAAACTGGTGAACTTTGTCTCCAATTCAAGCCTCCTGGAGAAATCCTGATAAGCCTGTTCACATGTCTCTCCCACCTTATGGGCTGGGAAAGAGTCAAGGAGAGGAATGTGGCAGGGCACGCTGACATCTGTTCCGCACACTCCCCTCTCCCTTGTTTCATGCTGGAAATGTGGAACGATATGGCTGTTTGGATTACACGAGTCTTAGTTTAAATGATACTTTGTTGTGTAAATGTAGAACATGCAATAAACTGAGTCTTATCCATTTTTCTCCTCTATTACAAGGGTGGAAAATCCCTGTTTTGGAAGGCAATTCATCCTAGAGCAGTATTCTCCAACTTTACAGTGCCTGAGAATTGTCTGCAGGGCCTATAAAAACACAGATTGCTGGGCCTCAACCCAGAGCTTCTGATTCAGTAGAACTGGGTTGGGGCCCCCAAATTTGCATTTTTAGTAAATTCTAATTTGTATTCTACTGAATTGGTATTCCATTGCTTCCCCTCATCTCGGGAGTATACACACACGAACGATATGGATTTTGTGAGCTGACTCCCAGATGTTCAAGTTCACCTGAATAAAGCTCCTGGGAAAAGCAGGCCATATCGCTGATGCTGCTGGTCCCGGGACCACATTTTAAAACCCATTACACTAGAGTAGATTTTCCACCATGGCTGCATGGGAGAACTGCTTTGTACAGACGCTGTTTTAAATGTTGATACCTGAAGTCTCACTCCAGACCAGTTACATCAGAATCTTTGGAGGTGAAGCCCCGGCATCAGGATTGTTAACTCCCCTCCTCCCCATCCCACTGCCAGTCCTCCACAGATGGATTAAATGTGCGGCCTGAATTGAGACCACAGGGAATAAGTTTATGTGTCAGCCACAAAAAGTTGAAGCTTATATTTATCCTAAGACTTGATTCTGAAATACCTATAAATAAGAACTACTTAAGGAATACTAAATTAATGAGGCCTTGATATCAAATTATCATGAAATTTTTCTCTCTTAATCACATAGATAACAGCTGATGTAACGGGCTTGCTTTTCTTAATGACATGTTACAGTGGACTTTTGAATAGGCGATTCAGTTCTGGTTCCTTGGATAGGAGAAGAGACAGGTTCCAGAAAGTTTAGATGGGGAAACGTAGCTTTACTGGTCCTCACTGGAATGGTGTATCATGTGTGTGTGTGCCTGTGTGTGCGTGTGTGTGTGTGTGTGTGTGTAAGAGAGATACAGAGAGATAGAAAGGCATTACACGTGCTTCTTATTGTAGCTAATGCCTCTTTTCCACCTCAGGAAGGTTTTTGTTGTTACTGATATTGTCAACATTTTGTACCAGTTCTGAGGGTTTGATTCCCGCTGAAATGACATTTGTTTCTCCGATAATTTTAGTTTCTCTAACACTTCTTAACATTCTCTTAAATTCATTTGGTGCATATATGTACCCATTCCTTAATTCAATCATTCAACATATATTTTAAGGATTTTCAATAAGCATTGCTTCCAAACTGTTACAAAACAAACTCTAAAGAACTATTAAGGACTCAGGAAATTTAAAAAAATATATTAAAAAGACAGAGTTCAAGGGGAATGGTTTCCTTTCTTAAATTCCCAAAAGTTTGAATTAAACTCATTTCTATTTTTATTTTCCCTTCTAACGTTTATTGGACAGCTGTTGTGCCAGTCCCCACGGAAGTAAACGTGAAGAAGATAGGAAAGCCCATGCTCTCTTGGATCACATATTCTGTCGAGGAAAGAAAGAAAATAAACAAATGAAGAGTTAAAAATTCTATAATGAAAATTAAAATTAAACTAGTTGATGAGAGAGAGTAGCTGAGGCCTTACTTTAGACTGAGTTGTCCAGGAAGACTCACTAAGGAGGTGATATTTATGCCAAGACCTGAATGACACGAAGGAGCCAGTCATGTCCAGCGAAACAGCTTTAGAGGCAGAGAGAGTAACTGAGGGAAAGGACCTGAGACGAGTCTGAGTCTGAGTCCGGCTGGTTCCAGGAGCAGAGAAAAGACCCCGAGCTGGAGCACGGCACATGAGGGGAGTGGTGCAAGGAATTTTGAATACACAAAGCTTCAGATGCCCATTAGACACCTAAGGGAAGGTGTCCAACAGGCAAGTGCTTCTCAGACGTCAAGGAGCAAGGAGCCCTGTGAGGAGCTTGTTAGACATGCAGATTGTGATGCAATTGGTCTGGGGTGGAGCCCAAGATTCTGCATTTCTCAAAAGGTCCCAAGTGATGACTGCTCTGCTGGCTGTGGAACACAGTTTGACTTGTGGAGATGTAAGCAATTTTGTATTTGTGAGTCTACAGTCAAACACAAAGGAGAGAAGGAGGGGACCCAAAAATTAAAGAGGGAGTATGGGACACGGGATAGAGCAGTGCCACAGAAACCAAGAAGTGCTTCAAGTAGGTAGGAGTGTGTCAGACTGAGTAGTGAAGATAGCAGGACAGACGTGTGGACTTGGGTTTGGCATGTAGCAGCCCTTGGGGACCTTTAATAAACTAAGTAACTTCTAGTCCTAGTATGGGTAGGTTTCAAACTTCACCATTCTTCTCAAGCGCTCACAACACCCCCAACGCTAATGTCTGACACCTCACTTCCTACCTTTCTGAGAAAAGGAGAGACCAATTAACAGGATCAACTACTTTCCCCTTAAAACCTACACCCCTCAAATTTAAAACTTTTTCTATTTCCATCCTTTCATCCTGTCGTCCTGTCTCAGAGAAATTGGATATGGTCCTTCCTTAGAGTTGTTAACTCATCTGCCCCCAATTCCTCTACCTGTCTCACACGAAATGTGCTCCCATCAGCTGTTGTCTCCTCACTACTTCCCTGATCTGTTCAAGGTCACCAATGACCTTAGCTGGTCTATCCTAATGGCCTATTCCCCACTCTTAAAAGTAAGAGTTTGAGGAAGGGGCGTGTGGTGTAGTCTGCCCAATGAAACATGAGAGGAAGACTGGGATGGGGGTGGGGAAATACTCTGCATTGATTAAAAAAAAGACATTCCAGAAGAAAAAAGCCCTCTGCAGAGGCTGTGCACAGTGTGGAATGTGAGGGCTGGAGGTGCCACGACAATCTCACAGCTCTAAGGAGCAGGAGCCTGAAGATGAGCCAACACTTTGAGACCGGAACATGGGGAGAAACTTTTTGCTTGTAACATAATTGAGCCACTGAGTTAAATGATGGTGGAAAAACATTTCTGAAATACTGGAGAAAATTTTTGTTGTTGCTTAAGCCTATTGAGTTAAGGTTTTCTGTTACCGCAGTTTAAAACAGCCTAACTGATGTGCTCCACCATAGCAGAACGTGCCTTCTAAGGCCTGAAACAGTTTCTTTCCTGCTCTCCCTCTCTCTCTCTCCCCTTTCTCCCATCTTCTCCCCCTTCCTCCATTCCTGCCTCCTTCCCTTGCCCAATCCCTTCCTCCCTATCTCTATATCTCCAAAACTCTTCTTTTAACTTTTAGGTCTGCCCCACACAAGCACAAAACTTATATCTTCTAGTCCACAAAAGCAATTTGCAATGATTACTGGTATTCACAACAATTCTTCACTTGCCTATGACTTCAATTCAGATTTCTGACTGGTTCCCAGGCCTTAATTTTCTCTCTTCTTCACAATTGTGGTAGGGATGACATTTGTGGCTTATTTATTCAATGCTAAATAACCTCTGACTCTTACATCTGGAGTTCATCATTTCAGAGATGCAGGAGGCACATACATAGGAATGAATAGCCATATAAGTGCAGCTAAAAGGGTGTTTATTAAATATTATAGTAATCAGAATAAATAATATAAAAGGGTATTCTGAATTTTCTCAGAAAGTCATAGCCAGCTTCTATTTGTGGGCTTTGTGAGTTTCATGAATCCAGAATTTAGAAAATTTTTAGTTTTCAGAGGACTCAGTCTTAAAGTCTTTGTCTACAGTAGGTCATCAACATATATATGTGATAAAATACATTACATATTCTAGAACATAGAAAGGATTTTCCTTGACTTAGGGGCAGATGTCATAAAAGATTACTTTGATATGTATTTCAATAAAGGTCATAACTGCTTTGCTGTTCCTAAGCCTTTCCCCAAGGCTAAGCCTGGTATGGGTTTATTGGTAGGTGGGTTGTCTGGGTAGGTCCTGCAACAATTCCAAGTTTTCCTAGTTAGTTGAAATATAGCTTTGGGAGGATTCTGCCTATGGACTTCCGGCAGCTTTATGTGATTATGTGATTTTTTTTCCTCAAAACCAGAAAAGAAACTCTATTTAAGTTAGTAGAGGGGTTTAGATGGTTTGGGTGGAGGAAGGGTAACAAATACCTAAAACACACACTTTCTTGGGGTGTGATTAGGAAGCATCAAGGTATTCTTGGAACTGAAGTGGCAGAGCAGTGTGCGTGCCACGCGAGAGTGTGCTATAGGCTGCAGCTGGGCTTGCTCACTGCTTGCTCTGCTTTCCAAGAGTCCATGGTTTTTATTTCAGAACAGCAAAGTTCTGCCCTTAGATGTTTCTATAAGCAGTTTGAATCAACAGATGCTTTTCCAAATATCTCAAAATTAAGAACTTCACAGTTCTGTAAGAGACAGGAAAAGTCAGTTTCTTCAGAAGACGGGGAGGTGTATATCCTGCTGTGCACACTTATGGTAGGGGTCCTATTACTTCCCCAGTGTGTAGGGCTGTGTTCTTTGTGAAGAGAGATGTACAAAGGAGATGGAACAGACAGAGACATAAAGAGCTGCAATTTTCTTTACTCCCTGCACCACTCCCACCCCTCAACACTAACCCAAATGCAAAGAATCACCCAGTAATCTGGATGACAAGCTCCTGCTCTCCCACCCATCACAACCTGACGAGTTGGCCTCTTCCATGGAAATATAACTTGTTTTTGTCAATTACCAATATGTTTCACTTGTGATTCTTTTCTTATTACCGTAAATCTTTAAAGTTAACCCTGTTGTAATCAGTACTTCTCTTATTTAATTGAATTTCTTTTTATTTCAATGGTTTTGATGAATATTTAATAGAAAGCCCACAATACTCTCTTTCATATTTCAAGTTATATTTAAATTTATTCAAAGATAAGATCACCCAGTATTATTGGAGAAGTCTACATAAATAATAGAACTGATGTTTCAGACCCGCATGTAACAATACTGTCCCCATATGATTGGGTTAGGTTATAGAAATGTTTTTCTTAACCTAGTTTTCCTGCTCCTCTTCTCAACTTTGACATATTAATTTTTGCTATTTCTGGCAATGCTTTCTAGTACAAAAGATAAAATTTCAGCCACTTCAACATTAAAAATAACTATAAAAAACTCAACCAAAAAAAGATGTGATTTAATCAAAGTACCCTGAATCACTGAAAAACAGTTTATTTCATGAATTAAAAACTACCTTAATATTCTTAGGGTTACAATGGCATTTTCTTGGGCAATTTGGAAGTGATATGAAAATTATGAACATGGATTATGGTATATGTAACAGTCTATTCTCATCACTGCAACTTAGACATCAGGATGAGAGTTGTACCTTACATTTCTGAATAGTTGAGTAACACTATGCTGGTTTTTACAATCACTGATGAAAGGGAAAGTATGGTAAACTGGATGCATGTAACAAACATGGGAGGTTGTAAGATGTTTCCAGGATATGGCGTCTTGCCATTGACCACAGCCTCTTGGAACAAGATAAAGTCATTGAAATAGTTAACAGATGCTAGCCATACTCGAAATATACAAGTTCTATTGCAAAAAACTATGTAGGGTCAGATGGAGATTTGGCACTTGGTCCATAATTTAACTGACTTGGCAAATAGAGAGTTGAGATCCAGAGGCATAACGCATAATGTCGAGGCCACACACTTTGCACACTACGCAGGACAGGAGCTCATAAACCACTGACAACATGTACGCTGTGCTAAGCCAGCTTGATTAAGTATTAACACAGTATTTGATACTTAGGGAAATCTGAGGTCAACTTTCATGTCTACTAAATTAAAAAGTTATTTTTACAAGAGCAAACCAGTAGACTTTTCTCCAAATTCAAAAGCATGTCTAAAAGTTTTATTATGTAGCCTCAGCTTGCAGTTTACCTGATGACTGGTATTGCTTTCCGTTGACTTCGTAATCTATCCAGTTACACTCTTTTTAAAAGTATCTTTTTTTTCCACTGTGTCTATTACTTCACACTTCAGAAAAAGTTGACAGTAACGATTTTCAGATGAATATCTGTAGCTGAAATGGATCTTCTCTGCCTTAAGTCACAAATTCTTTCAAGTCAAGCATTGAAGGAGGCTTGGGCTACTTTGGAGTTTGTGGTTTTATTCACAGCTTTGCAAATAAAGTCACCAGCTTCCAGCACTTTGTAAAGGTTCACACCCTGGTAAGGGAAAGAAGGGACACCAGGTGGGAAGGGGGATCAGGAAGAAAGAGGACAGATTCCTTTTAATTTTATGAGCAGTTATTAACCACTTAAAATTACTAAACAAAATGTTGCTCATTATTGATTTGGGGGCAACATTTGTCTTCGTGAATCATGTAGTCAGCATTTTAGATTTTTCTGCTTTATAAAACGTGTCTTGACTCTGGTTCTTCTATAAAACCATAGGCTAGCCACAACTGAATAACTCAATGTAATATAGGCTGGTACCTAAACTCTAGAAGGGACAATAATGGAACTAGAAACAGTCTACAATAAATCAGTGAAGGACAATTAAAATGGCAATAGTTTGGAGGAGTTTAATGGTTTAGATAATGTCTTAGGGAAAAAAAAAACCTCTTTAATACATAAAGAAACAAACTTGATAAAGCCGTAAGAAATATAGGAAAGGCGAATGTATAATTTTTTATTACCATATTCAGAAACACTATTACTAGGATGACATTGAAGGCAGTAGTTGTGGGTTAGATAAAATGAAGTAGTATTTAGCACACATCTGGAACTTGTTTGCCTGAGAGGTTGTTCTGTCTGAAAACATATATAGGATCAACAAAGGCTTAGGCAAATCCACGGATGACAGATAGGCAGTTAGGTATGAAGGCCAAGTTCAGGGCGTGCTCCTCATCTCTCGGGTTTGGTGTAAGGAAAGGTCACCAGCGAGGTCCCCACCCAGGACCTCTACTGTCACTGGGTGAGGCAGAGCAGTAGGTGGATTAACCAGAGATTTGCCCTCATGTAGCATTTCATAAGCTCCTGTGTCCTCCCTCAACATGGACTAGAAACAATGTGGACTTAAAACTGAACAGACTCAGGCTTCCTTGCTATTAAGGAGTGGTTTTTAATATTTATGTAAGTCTGTCATTTTCTTAAAATACACAAGTACAATATAAATACTCATAGGGCCTTTTCCTAACAAAGATCATAAAGAAGTCATCATTTTAATAGCCAATTACTCCTCTCTAGGCACCACTTAGAACACTGTTTTCTTGTAGTTTACTTCTCTTTATTTAAGAATGTTCAAGGAAAATATTTTGTAAAATGACACATAAATGATTTCATTCTTTCTTTTTACTATAAAGTTGTTCTTAGGGTACTAACATTTGCTTTGGTTTGAGAAATTTGCTTTTGTCATGGTAATGACTTTAGGTGGAGTATCTGTTAGGCATATTTTAGTTTAACATAGTTAATCCAGTGATATCTAATTTTGTAAATAGTTAGCTACAGGTGTCTTCCATTGCTGAATTAGATGCAGCAAGAGATCATAGGAAGATTCCCAGCATTCCAGGAATTTCAATTATAACAATTATGCAGTGGAATTTGTTGATATCATACCAAAGAAGAATTTCATTTGGGCCTTGCTCTACCATTTTATTTAATTAGCAGATATCATTATGAAGTAACACTGCATTTATTCTCGAATCACTCACCAGGTGCTTAAATATGTCTTAGGTACTATGATATGTTCTGGGGTTTCAAGAACCTCATGTAGAATATGGTTTCCGTCTTTGGGATGCTTATGGTCAAGCAGGCAATATGCAACCCTAAACAAAAAGTCCTGTGCTGGAGGTAGTCACTGACAGAGATACGCTCAGATGATTATGAAGGCAGAGGGTGGGGCAATCAAGCCACTGAGGAAAAGGCAGGGGACAGGAGTGTGCCAGGGAAGGGTGCCAGGAAGGGTAAATGCTGACCCAAGTCTTACATGAAGCGTATGCGTCACTGAGGAGAAGGAGGATGGATGGGGTGCTGTAGGCAAACAGAAGAGCAGTACAAGACACCTGAAAAATACCATGGTATATATGGAAAATGACAGGAAAAGATGACCAGCAAAGGTATAAATAGGCCATATTATGTGATAGAAGACAGCTTTGCTTTTCAGGAAATGAGAATCTACTGATGTGTGCTCAAGCAGAAACAAGGCATATTCATATTTGTATTTTAGATGAAATCCTCTGTTGGTAAAATGGAGGATGAATTTAAAGGCAAGTCTGAAGTCAGCAGACCAGTGTGGAGGATGAATACCCAGAAAAGAGATAAGGACTTGTGCTGATGTAGTTACAGCAAGGATAGTAAGGAAGGGACAAACAACCAAAATATTTTATAAGTCTAATTAGTGTCTCTCGGTAAATAATTGATTGGGCATGGGAGCCATAGTGCCTTTGGATTCTACGGAGAATCTTGGCTTGTTAGCCTCGGTAACTCGTTGAATTGTAGCTGCTACCCAATGTAACAATCCTCCTTGAACTGTGAAATTCTTAGGAATGGAGACATGGTTTATTAGCATTTGGGCCCCCCAAGTTATAGAACATGACCTGACACACATTAAGCATCAGCTGAGTTCAATTCAGTCATCTAAATCTCCAAGAAAGGATCTATTTTTCTTCAATTTCTGTCATGGCCATATATTTCTAAAGGAAATGATCAAGCTACTTGGTAAATGAAATAATATTTATTCCTAATCAGAGAAGACAGGCAATAGCTTTTGGTGTTTAGTGCCAAGTGATATCCACCCTCCAATGAATATTCTGGAGCATCTCTATGCAATAGGCACCCAGTAGGAATAATCTGGAATAATTGCTCCTGCCTGCAGGGGGAGCTACACACAGAAATAAGATCATTACATAACTCAGGGTAGGCTCACAGGTAGAGGCACAGAGGCTAGCATGGAAGTAAGGAGAGGAACTTAACAGTATGGGTGGGCCTGGGGGATAGGTAGAGAGATGCTAGATGAAGAGTTTTTGAGGATGGTGGTGCCTCACTCTCCAGGTAAAATTGAGTATGGGGAATAAGGCCATTCCAAGTGGTGGTGAAAGCTTGAGTGAGGGGTGGTGAGAAATAGAATGGTGCAAAAATGGGGACTACAGGCCAGTTTGGTGCTCCAGGAGCATCAATATAAGCAGAGTGAGGGAAGAGGAGAGATGGGAGAAATAGAGAAGGAAAATTCCATATTGTAACCCAGATGATGCTTTTACATCTCAGAAAACATTGTGAACTTCTAATAATCTGTGAACAGCTTTCTCCCCTTTTAAATTTTTTTCCCTAAAAAAAAAATCTGTCTTATAGACTAATGGGTCATGTTAACAACTATGTGGCAAAACAAGGTGCTGATTTTGGTGGATGTTATTATAGAGTATGTGACTTTTCGGGTAGCACCTGTAAAGAGACTGATCTTGTTGTCCAGAGTCTCACATGCTAAATGTTATTAAGCTCTGCTTTTCCACTGACCATTTTAAAAGAGTCCTGGGCTCTTGTGCAGAAGCCTTAGTTGTCACTGTGAGAAAATCAAGATCTCAGTTTCCTCCAAGGAAAACATCCACATCAAAAAAAACAAAAAGGCAGAAACAACAATCATAACAACAAATACACAGGCCCCAACTCACAAAGTGTGAAGTCAAAGCAGATAATACATGAAGAAGTACTCTGGAGGCCACGAAGCACTATAAAAATGTGAAATGGGAGCGTTACTGGTGACTGAGCTATAGCAATAAGTTACTTTATAAAGCTCTCTAAAGAATTTTTAATGTATTTTCCCAGTGTGCATTTTAGCAAATAACAAAAACGTAGTAAAGCTCTGACCTCAAAATTGCTTCCCAAATCTGAGATGCATTCCAATTTGTATCTGCAAGGAATTCAAGAATATTAAAATATGTTAAATTAACTTACTGTCTTGAGCCCCAGGCCATTAAGCATATATATCAAATCCTCAGTGGCTACATTCCCAGAAGCACCTTTTGCATAAGGGCAACCACCTAATCCGGATACTGCAGAGTCCACCACGTTAATCCCCATCTGAAAAACAAACCAAAACACCCAAGGCTTGTGTATTTATGGCATGTAAATTGTTGCATTTCTATTTAATCCGTTCCAGAGAGCAAATAAGCAAAATCTGAACCTGTTATCCAAATATATTACCTGCTACTAGAATAGTCCCTGAGGTGCTAATTTCTTTTCAGACCAATCTTGTCTTTTAGGCTAACAGAAACTCTGCTAAGGATCTCAGGAACTAGAATAATCTTAGATCAAAATTAAAATGGTGTAGCTTGAAGTAAGATTAATTTAATCCCAGGTTGTATAGATTCTCCAACTAATTCTCCAGCTCTATCCAAAAAGGATTATATAAATAACATGAAATATTTCCAACACCCCAACTCAAAATCAAGGTGCCTTAGAAGACTGATGGGGGTGGTAGGGTCACTGTGTTTGAACTAGGAATTTTGTGGGCTCAATTCACCCATTCAATTCACCCAATCTTTATTGAGCCCTTATTTTGCACACACAACCCTGCTGCTTTGGGAGAAGTGAAGAGATATTTAAGAGGCAAGACATCTGCCACTGACAATAGCACCAGCTCACATTTACTGGGTCCTCACTAAGTGCTGGGCATTATTCTTAACACCTCATGAGTGTTAACTCACAGTCCTCACAAAACCCATGGGGTAAATACTCTTCTATTCCCCAAAACACAGATGAAGAAACTCAAGGACAGAGGGATCACACAGTTTGCCCAAGGTCACCTCTGTCTCCAGAGAATTCACACTTTAAGGTGATTTGTGGCCTCTGGAAATATGCAAGTTGGTACAGGTTATGTGTTTGGGGATCTCAGAAGTGGAGGAGATCTGTGTGTGTTGGAGATGCTGTGGAAGACATGAGCACAGTGGGGTCTGAAAAAGGCCCTGGAGATCAGATGTGAATAGAGGGAGAAGAGAGGCAGGCACATCATTCCTCTGTGAAAGGTGACAATTGGGTAATCAGAAACTACCAAGGAGCCTAATCTGATTCTTCACTCCTGGGCATTGAAGAAAAAGTAACACGACTTCATCTAAAATGAGAAGCGTCTGGAAGCTGAGTTCTTGGCCAACCTGCTAGATCAGCAGTTCTCAATCAGGGAATCAGAATCACAGATTGCTGCCACATCCCCAGAGTTTCTGACTCAAGAGATCCAGGCTGGGACCTGAGAATGTGTATTTTTAACAAGATTCCCACTGGTCTGGGGAATCACACTTTCTTTTTTCTTTGATACACCTTTTATTTTAGAATTGTTTTAGATTTTCAGAAAATTTATGATGGAAGTACAGAGCATCCCTATATTATGCACTAGATTCCCCTACTGTTACACTGTCTTACAGTATTAAGGATGTTTGTCACAACTAATGAACAAATATCGATATGTTATTATTAACTAAAGTCCATATGTTATTCAGATTTCCTTAGTTTTGAACCTAATATCCTTTTTCTGTCCCAGGATTCCACTCAGGATACCAGACTACATTTAACAGTCATTCTCCTTAAGCTTCTCTGGGCTGTGGGACAGTTTCTCAGACTTTTCTTTGTCTATGTTGACCTTGCCAATTTTGAGTACTAGTTGTCATGTATTTTGTACAGTGTCCTTCAATTTGGGTTTGTCTGATGTTTTTCTCATGGTTAGATTGGAGTTCTGAAATTTTGTGAGGAAGACAACAGAGGTGAAGTGCCTTTCTCAATACATCATATCAATAATACACCTATTATCAACATGATTTATGACTGATGATATTAACGTTGATCACCTGGCTGAGGAATGTATGTCAGGTTTCTGCACTATAAAACACCACCCCCCTACTTCCCATACTGTACTTTTTGGGAAAAGTCACTATGTGCACCTCACTCTTAAGGGGTGGAGAATATCTACATAAATTATTTGGAATTCTTCCATATGGGAGATTTATCTATTCTCCCATATTTATTTATTCAAACATTTGTTTTTCTCAGTAGGGACTCATGGTATTTATTTTGCACTTTGTTTTATAATCCAATATTACTTTATATATTTTGTCGCTCAAGTTGTTTGAGATTTGCCCATTGGGAGCTCTTCCAGCTGGCTCCAGTGTCCCTTAGGGGACTGCACTGTTTGAATCACTCTTCTAGACTTAAGAGGATGTTTACCAGGGCTCACAAGGGCTGAACCATAGCCCCAAAGTCCTGGATGTCTTTGGAACCTGAAGCAGATTTATAAATATAATCTGTTTGCTTCTGCACCTCCATTTCTCCTCATTACACTCCTCAAAATGGGAAGGTCTCAATAGCTCTTCTTCCATCACACAACCTCTCTAAAATAATGATCTGACCAGTTCAATCATATTCAGGTGTTAACAACTGACCAGCTGAAGTACTAGTCCATGTAGGATAATCTACATTTGCTATGAATCAAAATAATAAGTATAACGAATTACGATCTAGGAGTGAAATTTGTGGTATTGTCCAGTAATTGGGAAAGACAAACGTTAAGACATTGACTCGTCTCTGGGAGTCTGCCATGACATCAAACAGGCAGAGGCATTCTTTACTTATAGGCTAAAATATCAATTCTGTAGAATTGAATCCATCGCCCAAGGAGACAGAAGTGTCAGTGGTTCTCAATCCTGGCTACCCATTATAGTCACCTGGGGACCTTTTAAAACCAACACCCAAGCTTCTCCCCAAACCAATAAATCACAATCTCTGTCTGAGAATGGGGTCAGGCATTGGTATTTCTTTAAAGCTCCCTCTGGTGATTCTCTTGTGTAACTAGGTGTGGGAACCCCTGAGGCAGAGGTTCTCCCCCATCTCACCCTTTATCAATCGTGGGTGTGAGTCAGCTTTAATTCTAGAGAAAGTCTGTACCCTGGGCAGCAAAGAGTTAACCATGACAGGTCAACTTTTCAAGGAAACCAATTTTTGAAAGAAGACCTAAAACAAGTATGAGGTAGGAAAAGTCAGAGGTACCAGCATGATAGGTGAAAAAGGGCTTTAGCCCACTATGCAGGCTGATTCACTCAGGGGGTCTGGAATCCACATATCACGTTCCTTTTCCCACTACTGAGGCTCAAGACCCTGCACCCAGAGAGATACAGAAGGGAAACGTGTTGTCTTGTCAAAAGAACACAATCCTAACTGTCTTCCTGGGAGAGAGTGAAAAAACAAAAGTCACTCTTCTATTTTGTAACTAAGGGCCAGTGTGACCTATTGTCTGGGCAGAAGTTTACTCACAATAGACGAACAATACATAACCAATGTCCAAACAGAGCAAACATAAATAATAACAAGCGAAGGTAGGAAAACAGGTTCAACCTCACATGAAGTCAAAGACTGTGAGCGAACACTACAACACTGTGGTATTTTACACTTTCAGACTGACAAAGGTTGTTGGCAATGAAACAGTATAGAGCAACAGAATATGAAAAAAACCTACAACTTCAACAATATGGACAAATCTCACAAACAAAAGGTTGTATGAAAGAAGTCAGGCTCAAAAGAGGACAAACATCATGATTCCATTTAGATAAGTCTTAAAATAGGTAACAATCAAAACTGCTAGAAGTTAGGATAATAGTAACCTTTGAAATGTAAATAAAAATAGACACAAGGAGAGCTTCCAAGATGCTGGCAACATTCCATTCTTTGAACTGGGTTGGTTACACCAATGATATCAGTTTGTGAAAATTCTCATCAGTTTGAGCTTATGATGTGTGCAGATTTCTGTATGTGCATTAAATTTCAATAAATATCAGTGACAGAAAAGGCAGTGTTGTTGGAACTGAAAGTAAACAGGAAAACTTAAACTGGTAGGAAAACAAACTGGAATTTTTTTCTGGTGAGCAATTAATTAAGAATTAGTCTTAACTGCTAATATCCATCATCCCAGCAATTCCTATCAAAAAAGTCCTTCCTAGGAATATTTCACAAATCCTAAGTAAATAATTCGATAAGAAATAAAAACAAATATATGTGGGTGAATGTATGTGTGTTGTACATGAAACACAACACACACACACACTCACACTCACACACCTATATATAGTTTCATCACAGTATGTTTTACAAGAACAAAAATTTGAAAACAATCTAAATGTCTATAATGGGGAAAAATTTAAATTAATTATGGTGTAGCTATAAAATAGAATGATAAATGCTATGTAAATGCACAGTTAAGGTAAGAAACAGGTTAGAGGATGTTATAACAGTGCACAGAATCATGAACCCAATTTCTTAAAAAAAAACAAGATTTGGATGATATACCAAGACGCTAATAGCAGTGATCACTGGGTGGTCTGATTATAGGTAATTTCTTTATTTTAATTCTGTTTGTCTGTGTTTTCCAATACCACCACAATGAATGTTGATTACATATTTAGTAGAAAAAGAAAGGTTTCTGCAAACTTTGGCCTGTAGTAGAATGATAGTAAATAAATGAGAATGAGCATAAATAAATCCAAGACTGAATTTCTTGATTAACATCATTATTTTGCATCTAATTGGTCTTTCTAGGACTGCAGGGCTAGTCTGCATACATAGTCTGGTAAAGACAGACATGGTCTGGGAGAAAGGCTCCCTGGAAAATGGTCTTTCCCTCTTTCCTCATATCAGATTAGCTCTAGACCTGGATTCTCTTTCAGTAAGCTCTTCACAAATTAATTGAATCAATTCTAAGAGCAATATGTGGATCTAAAGTTTAAATAAGCAAATTTAGAGTTTATTAAAGTATACATTACCTGTGAAAGAGAACACTAAGATATTACTTCCTTTTAAAGTCTCTCTTCAAAAAAAGAAACAAACAGTACTTTAAAAATATTTCTTTGCATGCAATATCCCCTAAATTCTGTCCTCTATTAAATGCGTAATTCCATTCCCCAGAAATAAAGATCTTACCAATGGATAATGTTATCCATATACTAAGTTATATGCTCTTATTTCTAAACAAGCTGCTTTGGAAACTTCTAGTTGTAGTCATCTAAGAAAACTTGATTTTATTATGTATTTTTTCTTTACATCCA